AATTGTCTTAGAATGTAGAGATAATGGAGGGCATATCAAAGAGCACCAAGGCAATCAAATACCCTTGCATCAATGAAAGCCCTACCAAGTCCTATACTCTATGGCATTACATTGCCCTGGCTGTAAATTAGCTAGCAAACCCCCAACATTAGTGTGTAATTATAAACATGGCATTGCTGTAGAATATCCTGCCATAGGAAGGTTGCAATATTTTAGAACTATGCTTTCTGGGAGAAAAATAGGGTTGGAGAAGAAGTACTTCAATCGTATCATATTAAACACTGTTAAAATAGTAATTATTTACCAGTAAGATGACTAAAATAGCAGATGACTAGTGGAAAACATGCCTTTTTAGATAACACGTTGTTTTATCTAATTTGAAATATAGTATATTCTCATAATGAGATTGTCACTAAATTAAAATTCTACCTATACCTAAACTGAATTGTATTCTTGTTCGTGGACTGACGTTATACATTTTTCCACCTTGCTATATGGAATGGAAGTCGTTGATTTCATTTGCTGAGAAAAGTGCAGTAGAATTATGATTTCTACTCTGTGCTAACACATACACAGATATTTGTATAGGAGTGTTTTGGGCAAAAATACTATCATCGTCACTAATAATTTGGTGTTTATTTGGTTGTTGTACGTCACCCAAATGTCACACGATAAACAAACAGAAATTCAATATTCATTTGACTTTAAATAATTTTATGCTTCACATCTCACATAGTATCAGCTGCTCCAACTTGGTGCTGTACTGTGTTCATGATTGTTATGCAGTACGGTAACTGTAATTTTGTTATACAGTAGATTTAAGTCACCTTAACTCTTTGAATGCCAGTGTTCATGTTCATGCTATGGTAAACAATAAAAACAAATATATTCACTGCATGACTTTACCACACAACAATGTTAGACGACGTCACTAAATTACTGACTGGTGAATCAAATACTATTACTGATGTGTAGCACACATACATACTGTGTCATACACATACAATGTGCTATTGGCAGGTCTGGACAATTAGTTCTATTTCACTATAAATAAACAAAAAGTGAAGTTTCTTGAAATTTGTGACAAAATTGTGAAATGGTGGTGTACAAGCAATTACACAAATCTAATCGCAGAGTTTAGAAGAGGTTGTTACTAATTTGTAATGTGAAAAACTATTCTCTGACTGAAGTCAGGTTAACATCAAGTGACTTGATGTCATTATTTGTCTCACTGTCTTTACAATCAAGGAAAAATTCCAAAATTGGTTGAATTTGCTGTCATCATCAACTCTATGGATTCTCATTTCTGTTTCATTTGTCATCATACACTGCATTATTTTTGAAATGTGTCCTCCACAAATGCAAACTCAGAACATGACAGTAAACAATACTACATGTAAATACCAAATTCATTTTATTTCATAAAACTAGGCATATTTCTGTCTTGTACTTTACAGTGTCACTTTAAATTTGTGAACATGATTTTCATTGTCTTCAATAAGATTAGTATTAGGAACTAATGTAAATTAAACTGATGCATCCTCTTTCATCATTTCCATATCACAGGACATTTATTTATTCAAGCTTAGTAGTGGTGCTTTTTACTGGTTCATGTTTTTGACATTTATTCGTTTAAATCCTACACTGGTTATTGTGTCATAAATACAACATATAAACACTGCTGTGCTATTCATAGTCACATACATCCACTTTGGTACTACCCAATCCATCTACGAGTTGAAGGAAACATGATTCCACACAAGTTTGGCTGGAGCTGTTTACATCTCTATTGCTTAGAAGCAAATATATACTGTACTTGGGCTTTTTAAGCTAGATGAATGTCAAGTTGCGCTCTGACTGTACGATTTGTAATAATAGAAGGCTTGTACAAGATGTTTTTGTTTCTTTCTTGTTCAATATAGGCGGTCCCGTTTTACCAAAGACTTCACACCTGTAACTTGGCAGCATTACTTTGAGAAATGTGAAGATATACAAGTAGGCAGTGATACATTCAGAGTTTATGAAAGTGGATGTGAAGGTCCAGCTGTAATATTTCTACATGGTGGAGGACATTCTTCTTTGTCTTGGGCTGTTCTTTCTGTAAGTACATATATGCATTTTGATCAAAAAGAAAACAAACATTGTTTTTAGTGTGGCCAATGCCAAAATATGTGTACATGGCCATATTAGTCTGTCGTAGGATGTCTCATTTTAGGACTTCCATGTACAGGAATATATAAAAGAAATATTTAATTATTTAATTTAGTTATTTAATGGGTTCAGCCTTCAGAGTAATTAACATAAATTATTAAGACAGAAAATGGAATACAAAAATAAAAGCCTATAAGTGGATAATAACATGCATCGATCTGCTTGTCATTGTGAATTTGTTTCATGTAAATTAATTTCAAAACAATTTTCTTATTTGAGTTATTTTTGTGTTTTTACTTTAAAATAACAGTGCAATGTATAAAACAAGAGAGATAAAAAAAACACTAACATCTTTGAATAGGTATTGCACTTTGCATCATATGGGATAGTTATATCTTCCAGTTAATTGGCTTGATTTCACTCCCATTAAATGTGTGAATTTTTATCCGTAACTAGGGGCTACCAATCCAGTTGATCTCATTTTGTTATGATATATTTTAATGACCGAATTCTGATTCCATACATTATATGTTTTAATACCTTGTTCCAGATTTATATAAATATTGTTATAGTGGAAATTATCGATGCTTGCGTGTGATAGATAACAGTACTGTACATGTAACTCAGAAATCACACAAGCTGTTTGCCATCAGCTAAGGCACCAACAAATAGAATGGTTTTGTGCAAACTGCATAGTTTCCATATGTATTATGCACTTAGTCTAGCTTGGGAGCATGAAAACAACACCCAGTCACAGTGTGTATAATAATAATAATAACTTTATTGCCTTCCTGTAAAAAGATTTACATAGGATAAGTACAGCAAAAAATAGTTTTAAAATAATAATAAGATATATGTAAAAATATTACGAATACAATACAAACTCATGACATATGACCAATAACACAATGTTCTATAAAACCATGATATAGCAGACAAGCAGATTTGACATATCATCAAACTCGTTTAATATTGGTATACCTTATGACACCCCCAAAGGAAAATCCAGATATTACCCTTAATGACCTACAGTGCTTTTAAAAGTAATGGATAGTCTTACCACTCAAAACCATTCAGGAATCAGCCTATTACAGAGTGGAGATTAGTTCAATTAGTTTACTTCACATATCCAATGCCTTGTATCAGTATCCAAGATGGGGACAACAAGCACCGAAGGATTATATGGCCATAACCATGAAGGTGAAAAAGATACAGCCAGCCAGAAGGAAGAAGACAAGCATAATTGTATTTCATTCAGCATCTGGCATCACAGAAGCGGTCATAATACAGAACACACATCTCAATAAACCACCCAAAAAGAGACTACCAGTCACATCTTGCATCTCTATTCAACATGGCACAAGCATATTATTGGAGTACAACGTGTTCTACCATCATGGTGACCAGTAAAACAATACTGCACAGTACACTGAATCAGAATTCAGGGCAGGCTGCATGTTCCATTGGACTCTGGCAATAGGTAGTATGGCAAAACAATTTGATGTGCAGTCAGAGTACAATGTACAATCAAATAGGATTAGGAATTTTTAGCTAAGAAAAACAATATAGCATTAACTACCGGTACTTTTGCTCCTTTAGCAGAAGCCCACACCATAAAACATGCTTTTATTATGTTATTGTTTTTTGAAGGCGTCATTATCAAAGATTATAAAATGTAGGATATTAGCAATAGATAGCAGAGGACATGGGAATACACAGACAACTAATGATGATGATCTATCAGCAAACGTCCTATCCAGGTATGATATCTTATCAGTGTATATCCTGTAATCACTCTCTTGATTTGGTATATGCTGAAAAAGAAGTCTGAACTACTGACTTTTAAAAAAAATGTTATCCTCAAATAACAAGTC